TCAAGGCTAGCGCTCTACCACTTGAGCCACAGCGCCACTTCCGGCTTTTTTCTTTTTGCTTATATGGTGCTGAGGAATTGAACCCAGGGCCTCGAGCATGCAAGGCAAGCGCTCTACCACTGAGCCACCTTCCCAGCCCCTAAAAGGTGTTTTTTAATTTATCACAAAAATGAAAGAAAAAAGTCTTTTATACTTTTCCAAAAAAGCATTACAGGTATGTTTAGAATTTGAGTAAGAACTCTCCTCCCATAAAAGACAAAACGCACATGGATACATGACTAGAGAACAGGCTTTTTTTGGTTGGTCATGGGGCTTGTACTCTGGGCCTGGGCGCTGTCCTCAGCTCTTCAGCTCAAGGCTAGCGCTCTACCACTTGAGCCACAGTGCCACTTCCGTTTTTCTGAGTGGCTAATTGGAGACAAGAATCTCACAGACTCTCTTGCCTGGGCTGGCTTTGAACTGTGATCCTCAGATCTCAGCCTCCTGAGTAGTTAGGATTACAGGTGTGAGCCACCAGCAACCGGCTTAGAGGACAGGCTTTTTAAAATGCTTTATACAAGAAACTTATTAGAGCCTGGTGCTCTGGCCCAGGTCCAGAGTTCAAGCCCCACGACTGACAGAAAGAAAAAAAAGAAAGAAATATTTCCAGTGGTTCATCAATTCAGGAATATTTCCAGAGATCTGTCCCTTACAATACACAATTCACCAGTACTCTAGCTGACAGCACAACACACAAGTCCCAGAACAGGACCTACCCTACCTGTTGCTGCACATGGCCTGTGTACTGCTCAATGAACTCGGTGAAGCGAATATAGTCTGTGCCGAGTCGGCAGAGGCGATTCAGAACACTGGTCTCACTTGGGTGGAGAAATGGGAAGTCCTGGGACACCTGTAAGAGGAGGCACAGGACAAAAAGCTGATGGCTGAGTCAAATTCTTTGGGGCACCTCAGATGAGGTGGGACATTTTCTAGTTTCCTTTTCCTTAAGTTGTTGACTTAAAGTTGGTAAATTTTGACAAGGTACTTCCAAACTATTTTTACCGAATTACTTGCTTCTTGAAATAGGCATCATGGCATCATGGCAAAGAATTCATTTTTTAAAAAATTGTTTGTTTCAAGAGTTTTGTTTTTTTTGTTTTTGTTTTTGATCAGTCATGGGCCTTGAACTCTGGGCCTGAGCACTGTCCCTCAGCTCTTCAGCTCAAGGCTAGCGCTCTACCACTTGAGCTACAACGCCACTTCTGGTTTTCTGGTGGTTTATTGGAGATAAGAGTTTCACGGACTTTCCTGCCCGGGCTAGCTTTGAACCGCGATCCTCAGATCTCAGCCTCCTGAGTAGCTAGGATTACAGGCATGAGCCACTAGTGCCCGGCCTAAGAGAATTTTGCTTATTTTATTTTTTGTTTATGTGGTACCAAGGAAATGAACCGAGGGTCCCATGCATGCTAGGCAAGTATTCTACAACTAAGCAACAACCCCAGCCAGCTGTAAACAATTTAAAAGTGGTAAACATTAAGAACAAGTAAACCACACTCTGGGGGTGTGACTCAAGTGGTAAAATACTAGCAAATGTGAGGTTCTAAGTTCAATCCCTAGCCTTGCAGACAGTTCTTTTTACTTGTTTCTTATGAAATCTTTACGCGTTTCGCTGGGCACTCAGGAAGCTAAGATCTGAGGATTGCTGTTCAAAGCCAGCCCTGGCAGTAAATTCCATGAGACTTTTATCTTCAACCAACCAACAAAAGCCAAAAACAGACCTGTGGCTCAAGTGGTAAAGCAAAAAAGATCAGAGACAGTGCCCAGGCCAGGACCAGTGTTCGTGTACTATATGTGCACACACACAAAATGTTTTTGTTTTTGTGCTGGTACCACGGCTTGAACTCAGGACCTTGAGCTGTTGCTCAACTTTTTTGCTCACAAGCTGTGCCTCCAGTTCAACACTTTGCTGGAGATGCAGTCTTAGACTTTTTCTGCCTGGTCTGGCTTCAAATTGAGATCCTTCACATTTCAGCAACTAGGATTATAGGCATGAGATACCATGAGAGTTCTGAGTTGGCCAAAACAAACACTATATGTTCCTTAGACACATTCCAAGAAAATTTAAGACAGGGATTTGCTATGTCGCCCAGACTGACATTGAATTCATGACCCTACTGCCTCAGCTTCTCAAAAGCTTCTCAAAAACCATGATGCCTGACTCAAATTCTCTATGAAATTTAAAATTTGTTCTTATAAGAATGTAGCTCACTGGTAAAGTGCTTACCAAGCAAAAGCAAAGTGTAATGTCCTGGGTTCGATCCCCAGTACCAAAAAAAAAAAAGAATATAAAACCAATGTAGGGCTGGGAAGGTGGCTCAGTGGTAGAGCACTTGCCTGGCATGCATGAGGCCCTGAGTTTGAGTCCTCAGCACCACATAAGCAAAAAAAGAAAAAAGCCAGAAGTGGCGCTGTGGTTCAAGTGGTAGAGCGCTAGCCCTGAGCTGAAGAGTTGAGGGACAGCGCCCAGGCCCAGAGTTCAGGCCCCACGACCGGACCCCCCCAAAAAAAATGTAAACATACTATAATCTATAAAACATAGCCATATATAATTATTTATACATGCATTTTGGGGGGGGGTCTTACTATGTAGTGCGGGCTGACCCTGAACTTATATAGCCCAAATTTCTTCAAACTCATTAATATCAATTCAAAATGGATCAAAGACTTCAACATCAGACCTGAAACCTTGATTTTTTGTTTGTTTTTTGGGTCCGGTCATGGGGCCTGACCTCTGGGCCTGGGCGCTGTCCCTCAGCTCTTCAGCTCAAGGCTATCACTCTACCACTTGGGCCACAGTGCCATTTCCAGCTTTTTTCGTTTTGCTTATGTGGTGCCGAGGAATCGAACCCAGGGCCTCGCATGCAAGGCAAGCGCTCTACCACTGAGCCACCTTCCCAGCCCATATACCTGAAACCTTGAAACTACTACAGGAAGGAGAAACTCTAGAACTCATTGACATAGGCAGACATTTTCTGAGTCCCAAGGGCTCAGCAAATTGGAGACTCAACAGCTGTCAATGCATCAAACTAAAATGTTTCTGCATAGCAAAGGACCTTATTAGGCTAAAAAGATAGCCTACAGATTGAGATCTTTTCTAGCTACAACATCCAACAAGGGCCTAATGTCCAGAATGTACAAGGAGCTCAAGAAACAAGCCCTGCCCACCCCCAAGTTAATAACCTGATAATTGGGAACTAAATAGCCTTCTCAGAAGTAAGAATAGCCAATAAACACATGAGTAAATGCTCAACATCCCTGGTTACACAGAAAATAGAAATCAACTGAGATTCTATCACGCCTCAGTAAGACTGACCAGCATTGAGAATACAAACAACAAATATTGGCAGGGACATGAGAGGGAAAAAGAACCCTGTTGGTGGTAATTTAAACTACTACAACTACTCTAGAAGGCTGTTTGGAGATTCTTCAAAAAAAAAACTAAACAGGGCTGGGAAGGTGGCTCAGTGGTAAAGCGCTTGCCTTGCCTGCCTGAGGCCCTGGGTTCAATTCCTCAGCACCACATAAGCAAAAAGAGAAAAGTTGGAAGTGGTGCTGTGGCTCAAGTGGTAGAGCACTTGCCTTGAGCTGAAGAGCTGAGGGACAGCGCCCAGGCCCAGAGTTCAGGCCCCATGACCAGACCCCCCCCCCAAAAAAAAACAACCAACAACTACTAAACATAGAACTTCCCTATGGCTCAGGGCATTAACCATCAGGCCACAGTGAAGACACCTGCACATCCATGTTCAGTGCCGCACTATTCACAACAGCCATGTTATGCCAACAGCCCAGAGGCCCTACAACAGATGAGTGGATCAAGAAAATGCTGTACACACAAACAATGGAATTTTACTCATCAATCAGAAAGAGTATTACATCATTTGCAAGGAAACGGATGGACACAGAAAAAAATGTCAAGTGAAGTCAGGCTCAGAGAAACAGCCCATGTTTACTCTCAAGGTGGAAGCTAGGATCTAAAATACAAACATCCATGATTACATGTACAAGGCTCTAGGCACATACACACGAACTGACTAAAGGATGGTGTATGTACAGAGGCCGTAACTCTACACTAAGTTCTACAGGGGAAAAGCAAAAACACCATCAAAGATCTACCCACAAAGAATAACAAAATACTGCCAACTCCCAAACGCTAAATTCACCTCCCTACAGCACAAGAGGAATGCGATACACAGGCTTTGCGAGCAGAGAGCACCAACCTTCTGCGCGCTCTCGGCCTGTGGCTAGGTCTTCTCGGATCAGACTTGACCTGGGTGATGAAATTCCTGGCCTGCCATGGTCAGTACCACCCAGCATGACTTCTCTAAGCTTCAGTCTTGCTCGTCTGTAAACCTTAGCCTCCTAAAGTTACCGGGAGGAGCATCAGACGCCTTCCCGGTAGTGGAGTCAGGTAACAGCGAGGAAGAGTGGACCTCAAAAAGCTCGGGGACCCCAATGAAGCTCTGCTGGCGACCAGCCGAGGGCTCGGCTGGAGGATGAGGCCGGCGGCTGCGGGTGATGAGCAGCAGCGGGGCCGCGCGGCGCCCTCCTCCCCGCGGGGGGCTCCGCCGGGTGCACCTGACGTTCCGTGCTCGCTCCGCAGCGGCCGGCAGGCCTCGGC